ACATGGAGACTCCTTTCCCCACTCTCATCCCAACAGAAATCACGGCCTGAGTGATTCCAGACCTGGATCCGCCCCTTCCCTCTCCCTGCGGAAAGGCAGAGCTCATCCTGCTGCTCCCTCCCAGCCCAGCCCCCCTGCGGTTCTTCCCGATGGATCAACTTCCTGCTCATCGCCGCTGGAGTGGCCCCCACTCCGCCCTGATGCAGAAACTTCCCTACCCCACGCCGCCTCCCGGATCACATGCCTCTGCTCTACACACCAAGAGAGCGCCGAGAGACCACCCACCTCCAGCCACGCGGCCGAACCATCCCCTGCTGCCCACCCACCCCCCAACCCTTTTCCCTCAACTTTTTTTTTCTTCTTTACAGTCTTGCTTCAAAGTACCCAAACCAGTTTTTCTCCTTTACTGTTCATATGTTATTTTCCAGGTTGCTTCACTTTTACATATCTTTACCGGGTACACCATGATCAGCAAAACAAAGGAAACTCAACAACAACCCCCCCCAACCTAATGCATTTTTGTTCTTTATTATTAATTTAGAAATCTACACGCACAGAATGCACTCAAAACTAAATGTGAGGAGTAGAGATCCAGTAAAAGTAAAGACCTCTTTGCCTGCCTCTCTGTCTGCTACCTGGCTGTCGGCGCCATCGCTCTCTCTCTGGGGGGCAATGAGCTGCCGCGGGGTGAAAGGGGGAGGAGCGAGAGGGCACATCTCCCCCCGGAGCAGGGGGTAAAGGAAAGCCTCCTGTCTTGGGGATCCCCATTTCCTATCCGATCAGCGTTCGTCAGATGGGCCGGATAAGGCATCGCTGACCTTACTCCTTCTGTGAAGGGGAGGGCAGCTGCAGCACAGAAGGCATTCTGTGTCAGGCGAACGCCCAGAGTTAGCGTCCCGGTGCAGGGTGGGAGCAGCTCTGGCATATTCCTGTATCCCTCTAACCCTGAAAACAGATAGCTTTGGTCCCCAAGATGAAAGATTCTTGGGTCAACTCACATACCCCATAGCCTTAAGCTATATCAGGGGTATGCGCGGTGAAACGGTCTCCTGAAACAACCAAGGATTAGCCTAGATGATCAGGAGGCATCAGCAGCCGGGGTTGGAAGCCACCCTAACTGGCTCGGACAGAGTGACCCAAACAGACTCAAGTAAAATTTAATCTGGAGATTTCTCTTTTTATAATAGGAACATAAGTCTTAAAATTACCTGTTTTCTCAAGTTCAATACAAATCGTCTTACTCGCTTTCTCATTTTTATATCAACCTTTATATTAACCTTTACCCCAGGTTCAACTAGAAAATTTTCATTGTTAAATCCCATTAAAATTACAAATGTTGTCTTTATTATAAATAAGAAAGGGTGAGATGCAGGGGTTTGAAGTTGATAACTCACTTGTCTATCATTGGTTCCTGTGTTGCCATAGTTATTATATTGTCTCCTTGTATTGGCTAACTAAATGGCCAATCCCCTCTTTTCCCCACCAGCCCTTATAAGCTGGGGGGAGGTTTGAATAAAGCTCTTTGCTGCTGGACTCCCTGCGTGCTGTGTGGTGTCTGTCTCCTGGCAGAGGTGCCTCCGCTGCCTGTCCCTGCCA